AATAAATCAATGAATATAATAATAAAATAAAAGCATCTGGAAGAAAAAAAAAGGTATTCTGGACTCCCTCTTGCTAGGCTAGGCTAGCAAGTAGGAAATCCTTCAGATCAGTGGTAGTAGCCTTTTTTGTCTAATGCTCCTGAGCTGCTGGAAGATAGCTCAGTAACTGTCAGACCCCAAGGCAGAAAGCAGGCCAGTTCAAATAATCCTGCCTGTTTTCCATCCCTCCCCCAAAGCACTGGGATTGGAAGGGACCTCAGGGAAGGATCGCAGTCACTGACCAGCTACATAGTCAATATGAGAGCAGTCCTTCTCCCCTTCTTCCTCCTCCCTCTCCTTACTTTCTGTTTCCCTGCAGACAAGCCCAGCTTGGGCTTCAAAACTTGAAATGTTTTGAAACTTTCGAAACATTTTGACTGACCTCAGTTTGTTTCAAGCCCTTTGTTTCATTTCAATTTTGCTGTTTTGAGCTCAGAACAAGTCAAAACAGTGTTGAAATGAAACAGCCGGTGAAATTTCATACATCCCTAAAAATCAATACACAGTTGTAAATAAGATTTGAAGTGAAATGGTGAATGATGGCAATGAGTGATAGGGGGAAGGGAGCAAGACTTTTTTTTACTCAGTCTTTTTTAAAGATGAAGGGTTCCAAAGTACGTTTGTATGCACTTGGAAAGTGACCCGAAAAAAGAAGGTAATGACAGGATGCTGGCCTGATACTATGATAGAGTGAGGTTTCTGGGACGGGTGGGAAAATAGGGACAAAATAAAACCTATGACTTTCTCTGCTTTTCCAGAATCAGTAGGAAATTCCCGAGAGTCTTGCATAAATTTTCTCATTGAATTTCTCCTGCCTTATTACTTACTGTTTTGTTCCAATTTACTAACCCTCTGCCCCCTTTAAATGCCAGATCCATCCCTCTGATCTCCCTGTAGACAATGCCCACATCCATTTCAATATTTTTCAGTGCTTCTGCATCCAGCTGACTATCTCATTTTCTTCAGAGTTCATCTCAGAGCTTACCTATTGTCTCAGGCCTGTGACTACCAACTCTTAGGCAGAGGGGGGAGATAAAATCAATCCCATTCTATGAATCTACCAGTTTCTTTAAGCTCTGTTCTAACTCTCTCCTCGATATATAGTCTTAGGATTTTTCATCCTAATATATTATCAATGCATGCTCTATGTATGAAATATTTTTCCTATTCACTGTGCTCATATTTGTATTCTCAAGCTTGAGCTGGCTGTGACATGTTCTGTGATAGTTTTACATGAAAAATACTATAGAAAAGTAAGCTGCCTTTTACTGTATAGAAAGGGCCTGATCCTCCTCCTCCTCCATATCCATCACTCTACCTCCATGGTTATTATAAAGAGTTACTTTTGATGTAAAACAGGTGTGAGAGAAGACTACAGCCCTTTGTTCAGAAAAGCTACTGGGTCTGTTGTATGATGGATAGGATAAGTTCCAAGGTATTTACTTCTTTATTTCTGCTTTAGTACATTTCTCATCATGGCATCCTTGGGTTTCTTTTTTCTTTTTTATCATACAGATGAGCTGAGCTGCCTGACTGAGCACTTGTTAACCTTAACTTAATGTGAATCTGAAATTTAACCATGCATTTCCTTAAAGGGCACTAACCATTAAACAAAGATGGCAAATTGCATATTTAAAGAGTTGGTTATTTTCACATAAAAGTTTATATTCCGGGTATGTAATTAAAAATAAAGTGTGTTTCTTTAACTTATGAGCAAAGTCCCTTTTTCATGCTGTTGTGGAAAGAAAAAGGGTACAGTACTTATAGCTGTTAAACACTTATAGGAAGTATTTTTCTCCCTTGTTCTTTCTGTGACTGAAAAAGAAAAAAGGGGCACTATGTCAGCTTTTGAGTTACATGTGGATCAAGAGAATTTCCTTTAATGCATACTAAAAGTAGAATATTAAGTTAGTCATGACTGAGAAGCCTTCTCCATGAATAAAATGACTTTTAAGATTCACTGATGTAGAATGGAGCAGATTTAAATGGAAAAAAGATAGGTGGGTGGATGTGACAAAAAAAATATAAAACAAGTCCTAATAGGGTTTTAGAGTAATATGAATATACTGATTTCTCCTTTCATCTATCTTTACTGTCTACTAAATTCACTGACTTCAATATACATTATATCAGATTGTATCCCAGTAGAGTCCAGGGCTATATTGTGCTAGGTATGGTTTAAATTCACTAATGGTCCCACCTCCTAGGAGTTTATCTGTTTTGTTGAAATAAATGATAAAGAACGTGTATGCATGTTGCCCTGTGGTGACCTACAGATGTGCTATGTTGCCATATTGTGCACTACAGTGATCATGTGGGTCTACATGTGATTGGCAGCTACGTCACCGTAGTGGCACGCTCCCTGTTGTAGTGTACCGCTATGGCGACATAGAGGCAAAATCACACCGTTCACACGGCACAATAGGGGCGGTTACTGTGCCATGCTTTAGTACTTTCAAAAGGTACTTCTTATTTTGCTTTACTTCCAAAAGTAAGTACTAAAGCATGGTGCAGTAGCAATGTTGCCATATGGTGATGTGTAGCTATGCCTAAAGGGTGGCAGAAAGGAAGCATTCCTATGTCTGGGGCACAAAAAGCTCAAGTGGTTTAAAGTCATACAGGAAGCCTGTCACAGAGCTGGGGATTAAACACAGGATTCTCAGTTCAGTACGTAAATCATGAGATAATCCTTCCTCACTTCAGTGGATTTACTTTAAAGAATAAGCCTGGAGGACCAGACTCAAGTGGGGTGAGTTTTGAGGACAATTAACAGAATGAGGCAAATCCATAAAAAAAACAAGTATGCATCTTACCCAAACTAGCTAATGACTTTGTACTGTCATGAACAAATGTATCATTAGCGCATTCATAGTGATGATAATGGGCGATCACTCACGAACGAGTAAGAAAGTCTTCCAAGGATCTTAATAGTGAGTTTGCAGGTGGCTCCATAGCTCAATTCCAGATCCACATGTCTTGTTGCAGTAAGGACAGAAGTTTCCAGAAGAGATGGGCACTGTGTTGCTGCGTTGAATGTTCTGATGTTCTTTTTACCTGTTCCTCTTTTCCTTTTCTGCCTGTCGACGAGCTGTTTCAAAGTGTTGAGGGCCCTCCCAAAGAGGTCTTCCTCCATTTTGGTCAGTCTTAAGCAAAAGTCTCCCAAGTGTTGATGTCAATGTTACACCTCTTCATGTTTGCCTTTGGGGCATCTTTGAACTGCTTTCTTTGACCTTCGCTGACCTTCTTTCAGCTGTGAGAAAAAGATTCTCTTTGGAAGCCGGGAGTCAGGCATGTGAACAACATGACCTGTACAGTGAAGTTGGTTTTGGATGATCATGGCCTCAATGCTGTTGGAATTTGCTTCTGCCAAAATGCTGTTTATGCATCTATCCTCCCAGCTAATCCAAAGGATCTTGTGAAGGCACCATTGGTGGTACTTTTCCAAGCTCTTGAGATGTCTTCTGTATGTGATCCAAGTTTCCTAGCCATACAGCAGAGTTGGAATGACAATGGCTCAATAAACCAAGAGCTTTATTTCAGCAAGGATGTCATGATGTAAGAAGAATCTCTTAGACGTCCAAAGACTGCACTTGTACATTTCAAGGGGTGTTGTATTTCCGTTTCAATGTCTGCCTTTGACAAAAGTTCGCTTCGAAGATAGGTGAAGTGATCCACGATCTCCAGCAACTCTCCATTGATTTGAATGGAGTGGGATGGGGGGATGGGGATTGTTTTTCCAGTTGGAGCAGGTTGGTAAAAGACTTGAGTTTTCCTGCTGTTTAGAGTTAGGCCAATACTCTTGTAGACTTCTAAGAATACATTAAGAATGATTTGGAGGTCTGTTTCAGGTTGAGCAATGACAGCATTGTCATCCGCATACTGAAGCTCTATTATGGATGTTGTCATGGTCTTCATTTTGGACTTGAGTTTGAGGTTTGTAACTTTCTGTGCCTGTGCTGTGCTCCCCACTTACGCTTTTTTAGTTGCCCAGAGCTACCTGCAGTCTTGCAGCCTGACAGTTTGACCCCTGGCACTAGTTACCAAGACCACCAACGCTTCTCTTCTGCCATGTCTTTGTTGGAACTTGAATCTTGGGGAATGTTGTTAACTCCAGCTCAGTGGTATCTTGTTTGATCTGATTTTTAGTGTGAGGTGATTGGGACTCCGCCTCCCCTACACCCCACCTAGCGCCAACCCATTGTTACTCTGATGTTGCATGGACGCCCTTTTTTTTACCAGTCGTGTCTCTCATCTCATCCTGAAGATCTGCTGCTGCCTTGGCTCCACTCTCTGCAGCCAGACTTCCACATCACTTCTCCAGGTAAGTAGCCTGACTTCTCCAAGTCAGCCAGTAGGGGTAGCTCCTTATTCAGAGGCTGCCACCAGTCATCCCGTACAGGATCTAGGTCTCATCTGCAGACTTCCTTCGGCTCCTGGGAACTCCCTTCTGGTTCCCCCATTGGACTGGGGCGTGGGGCTTTTAGCTCTGCCCCGCCACCTCTGCTGGCAAAATGGCATCGGCATGTGCTTATAAAGCACGTCCACACTGGCACCGTCTTCTTTTCTTCTTTGGCTATCCTCGCCCCTGTTGACTGCGGCCTGGAATGTTGCAGCGCTGCCAGTAGGCCCTGTGGTGTGACAAGCCCACCACTGCCACCATGCTCCCACAGCCTGATGCGCTGCGGTGCCGCTGGCAGTGTCCAAAGTGCAATGGTCCTACTGTTGCCACCACGTTCCTGTGACTTGGCATGCTGTGGGGCTGCCAGCAGGGTTTGTGGCATGGCAATTTTGCCATCACCACCATGCTCCCGTGGCTTGGCACGCCATGGTGATGCTGGTAAGGCCTGCAGCATGGGGATTCCACCATTGCCACCAGGCTTCCACGGCTCAGCAGCTCCACTGCTCCTGCCATGTATCTCCACCCTCAAGTTGCCTTGTGGTGTTCTGAGTGTGCCATCTTCTGGGCGTGCTTTGTCCATCTTCTGATCCTGCAATGCTTTCTGCTCTGTTGGCCTTGCTGCTGATTCGCTACACCGAGATAAGAAATTGGCAACTTTGTTGTTCATGGCTTGTACCTGACAGAGAATTTAAAGGGAAAAAGAACTAGTGCCCAACATATTATGCACCCATTATCACACTTAGAAAGGCGAATGGTCCATTATGAGTGTGAATTCCCATCCTATTAAATAATAATGGAAATATATGACTACCCATTTAATAGTGAGACATTCCCTCTCAATTGTGGAATACCTGTGCTATGCTGTATTTAATTTCCTACTTGCAAACACCACTGGTCTTTCAGCCCCATCTTCTTGTTGGCATAGGACTGCCCCCACAACCATTCTGGATCCTTCAGTCTGTAGGATAAAAGGCTTAAAAGTCAGGGGTCCTTAGGAGTACATCACTACATAAGTGTCCCTTGATATTCATAAAAGCCTCCTCTATCGGGGGCATCCAGCTTATCACACCCTGCACTTTGCCCCTTATGGAGTCTGTCAAGGGTGTGGCCAACTCTGCAAAGCCTGGTATAAATCTTTGATAACAGTTGGCCAAACCCCAAAAGGAGCTCATTTGTTTGTTTGTTTGTGATGGTTTATATTTGTCTATGGTCTCTACTTTACTTGCCAGTGGGTGTATGAGCCCCTGTCCCATGCAGAACCCAAGGTACTTGGTCTCCCACATTCCTAATGCACACTTTTTACAGTTAGTGGTTGTATTAAATTTGTGCGATTCTCATAATACTGCTTCCACATGCCGCAGATGTTCAGGTCATGATTGCAAATAAATTACTATATTGTCGATGTACATCACAGCGTACCTTGCATGTGGGGCTAGGACATTATCTATCAGCCTGTGGAATGAGGCTGCAGCACCGTGAAGGCCAAACAGCATCCTTGTACATTCAAATAATCCCCATGGCATGCCAAAAGCCATTTTTTTCTGGTCCTTTCCCGCCATGGTGATCTGCCAGTAGCCCTTGGAACAATCCAGGGTAGAGATGTACTTTGCCTGACCTATTCACTCCAGTAGCTCTTCTGGGTGCTCTGTCGGTAGTGTCTCATTCAGAAGTTGCTGGAATTCTCACTGCTTGAGTGGGTCCTTCAAGCACTTGATGTTTACCTTGTGCCTGATCTGCTTCCTTTGCACTCTTCATTTAGGAGCAATCCAGATGGACATTCAGGAATGGATGAGGCAATGGTCAATCCAGCAGTCATCAGCAATAGTCATAGCTCTCATAATCAGGACATCCTGATGATCGTGAGTTCAAACAATCACATAGTTGATCAAATGCCAGTGTTTCCAGGATGTCTTGAACTTGTTCCTTTGATGGAACAGGGTATTTGTGATGACAAGTCCATTGTCTGTGGACTTTGTCAGGAGAAGGACCCTGTTAGCATTTGAATTTCCAATGCCTTCTTTTCTGATAGAAAAAGTATCATTAGCACACTCATAGTATACAAGTGTTGACTTCACTACCTTGGCACAGATGCCTTGGTACTACCTTGATACAAAAGGAAGCAAGCTATGCCCTGAAGAGGAGACTCGTGCTTTATGACCACCACCTCAAATACTTAGCAGAGAAATCAGTGATGTTCTGTTTTGATTCACCACTTTGCACAGCTACTCAGCGCCCAGCTCTGCTACACAGGCTTGACACTGCTCTAGTGTTGCATGTCTGTCTCTGGGGATAAAATACGGATCATTACACTTTTTTTCTTGTATTTATGTTTCTTTCCCTTCCATTGACTTTATATTCCTATTCCTCAGGTTGTCCCTTAGTCATCCTATCTCCACTTGTATGTATACCTCCTTTGTATTTGCATTGGACTATAATGAATTCATTTTTAATCTTTTGCATCCTAGTGCTCTCCACCTAGTCCACTTTAATAATGTGTGCCTTCACTACAGGTTTCAGAGCCCTTTTTCATATTAACAACTTTTTTCCATTTCATATAAATATGTTCACTCTTTTGTTGTATCAGCTGTTTTTTTCTACAGTCCGTTATTCTTGACAGCCTCACAGTAAAAATCTCATATTCAATATTCTTCTCTTTTTAGCCTCCACTCTACTGATATTTTGTATATTAAGTATGTTATGTAATGCTCTACCACTTTGTTACAAAAGCTATGTTTGAATATATAGATTTGTAATAAAATCAGCTTATTAGCTTAGTGCTGTGTGATGGGAGCACAAACTTGTTTATTCATGTAATCACCCCAAATAGGGAAATCATCCCTGTGAAAGTACTTAAACGTGCCACGTCCCATTGAGGTCCATAAGACTTCCAAAGCAAGTGTTTAAATTTAAGCATATGCTTAAATGTTTTCCTGAATCAGTCCATAGTACCCAATTGCAGGGCTTTCTACCACCTTTGTATAGGTAGAAAGCCATGACCCCTTACCACAGGCAGAAGTTTAAATGAAAAAATCCAGCTGTGCAACTAAATAGCTTGTTGAAGGCCGTAATCACAGGCAGAGAGATCTTTAGTGACATCTATGTGTATTTCTAAACTGCCACCTGATTTTGCCCCATACAAACATTGATTTATTACTTTCCCACAGAAGTAGACCCAGAGTGTGTAAGAGTGTATAAGTAATAGAAGCAGACCAGCATGGGATGCCCTTGAGGCAGAGGTGACAGCCTACCAGTAAGAGGGTTTACCAAGTGTTGTTTTACCCTGCAAAAGGGGATGGAGGTTGTTTGGGGGGTGTTGTTTTGTTTCTTAAGCAGATGCTTGCCTTTTTATTGTTATAATTAAACTGGTGGACCAGGTGTGGCTGAAATGGTGTGATGAGGAGAGGCACAAGGGTGCCCAAGGGACATGTGGGAGTTTTGAGCCCTGCAAGTGGGAACAGAGAAGGTAAAAGCCTGAGTAACAAAAGCAAGAGAGATGGCCTGAGGTTGGGAAGGCTTGGGCCAGGCCCCGGGAAGGGGAAAAAAAGGCTGGTGCCCAGGAGTCAAAGGTTGGTACAGTGGACCTAGGCCAAAGTGGGGCCCAGCCAGAGAATGGGGGCCAGAGCCAGGAAGGCTGATGCCCCAGGAAGGGATTGGAGACCTGAGTCAAGTATTGTACTTGGGGCAAGCTGCCCTGCTGAAGTGCCAATTGGTATCACCGGCAAGGCATAGGTGTGGCTGTAGGGGAGAAAGGAGGCCTCAAATTTAGCCCTCAAGGCCAGCAAGGTTCAGCCCCGAGAAGGGCAATCAAGGCAAAGCTAGAGAGAGAGGAAGAGAGAGAGAGCCCCATGGACCCATCAGCCCTGGGAGGCAACCTCCCTCATTACTTTTCTTTAACATCAAGGCATGGCAGGATAGTGAGCAGGTTGACACCCAAGGAAAATTGAATAGGGAGGACAGGATAGAGGTGGCCACTAGAGGGCATCATGGCAGCCCTCAGACATCATCTTGTTCCAAGTACTCAGAGAGGGAATAGCACAATTTATATAAAATTTTGGCTAATTTCTTTGTTGGGGCCAATTTTGTGGGATTAACATATGTATAGAATTAATACCAAAAGCATCCTGCAACATGTAATAGCTAAACTCCCCAAACTCTCAAGTCACCACCTCCTAAAACTTGAATGAAATACCATGTCATAGAGTTGGTTAAGAAAACATGTTTTCATATATAAATAGGCTCAAGCCCTCTTCCAGTTTCCAAAATAATTAATGGCATAAATTAGTCACAGTTGTCACCAATAAATGTTGACTGACATTTCATTATAGCTAGTATCTCGAATTCCACTCTTCAGTAAATATTGCCTCTTTCTGACAACCATTGTGGTGCTGAACTGATCCAGGAATGCAATTATGATTTCAAGGTGTACAGATTAACTAATGAGTCCTGACTACCACATTTCTACCAATCTGTTAGAAGCTTCTTCTTAACACCTGTTTTAAACAATTGAACCTTATAAACCACAGATACTTAGAGACTTAAATTAAAATTTCATATTTCAAGCTGTGAGACTATGGAGGCTTATAGCCCACCCTGTAGTAATTTATTTGTACAGAAGATATCAATCTTGAAGATCAAGTTCAGTTACTATAGCAATATTCTGTGTGTATGTAATATATATTTATAAATGTTTTAGTGGTTTTTTGATACCCACATTTAAAAAAAAATAATGCTATAAACCAAATCTCTATGTTTTATAGAACTATATTCTTTCTTCTGGGATTCCAGTGTTACATGCAAATCATTTAAAGCTTTTGCTGTTCTAACCAGAATCCCTCAAAAATATTTTCATCTATAGCCCAGCTGGATAGAATTTGTCCATTGTAAAACACACATTTTCTTTTTTTTTTATTTGTACAGAATAT